ATATATATTATTTATTATTATATGTATATATATATATATATATATATATATATATATATATATATATATATCTGCATGTCCCATGCAATCAAAAAGATGTCGATAGGGCAAAGATGATGATTCTTTATGAAAAAATGAACATGTAAAATAAAAATTTTTTCATACAAAACTCTTTGTTTCTGAGAAAAATAATAAAAGAAAAATATCCGTTTTATCTTTCTCTTAAATCATCTCACACGAATTTCACACTGCACGCCATTACGAGAAATATCGATTATTATTGTTATTATTACATTCATACGCGGATGCGTAACGGGACACTATCCGATTTGCATTCCGCCTCCAAGTCCTGCTTAATACCATCAAGAGTCTGATAGATTGTACGGAAGGTAGGCCGGTCGGATGGCCGCCTGTTCCAACAGAGCTTCATTAGATCATAAATCGATTGCGGCGTGTTATCCGGGCAGCGCAACACGTTGCCCTCCTTGATGTACTTGACCACTTCCTCGTGCGTCATTCCATAATACGGTTGTAACGCAAAGCTAAAGATCTCCCAGAGACACACGGCAAACGCCCACACATCCGATTCGACAGTGTACTTGTTGTACAGGATACTCTCGAGTGGCATCCATCTGACAGGTATGGCGTCCTGCTCATCCCCTGCATTAATTATCAGATTAATTATGAGTAATATGACGATTATATATATCTAAAAGTAGCATGTGATTGTGTGAATTCTGTATAGAAAAATATAAATGGTATTACACAGAAATGGGAAATGATTGTCGAATAATCTTCGAAGACTTGATTATCCTTTCATAGCATGTTTAGGCATAAGCAATACTCTAAATAATAAAGGTAAAAAGAAGGCAACCTTTATAATAATCCTGCAGGTATATCTTTTGTGACAAGCCGAAATCTGCGATCTTGACGATCATCTGGTCATTTATCAAGCAATTGCGCGTCGCCAGGTCACGATGTACAAATTTCCGGTCGGATAGGTACACCATACCAGATGCCACTTGCAGTGCAATGTTGATCAAATCCATGTGCGAGAGTCGCGAGGGCTCGCTCGCCGTTGGACCGCCTTCATCCGTGGTAGGCACGCGGATTACGTAATTGCTGGGCGAGCACGAGCGCAAGAACTCGTTAAGATCTCCACGGCCCATGTACTCGAACAGCAAGCACATTGGCCGTCCAAGCGCGCAGACACCCAGCAACTTCACAATGTTTGGATGATCGAATTCGGCGAGGAGGCACGCCTCCCGCTCGAAATCTCGCAATAGATCGTCCGACGCTTCCTCTTTCAGCATTTTCACAGCGACGTTCGTGAACTCCTCGCCCGCAACTAGTCCCGGTGCCTTCGCCTGAAACACGCGACCGAATGCGCCCTGACCTAAATCCCGCACATAGATGATATTATTCCGCGGGAACTCCAGCTTCTCCAACTTGGGATTCAGTTGCGCGCTCGTCTTATGATACGCCTCGTTGTTCGGTAACTTATCTAAATCAATATTCACATCCTGTAAAGAGGAAAGACGTTTGAAGATCATAAAAAGTCGAAACAAGAAATCAAGAGTGAGATTGCAAATATGAACGAGAAAAAGATTTGATAGAATTATTTGAGAATAATTAATCTTATATATGAAATATCTTATTTAAGTATCTTATTTAAAAAAAATTATAATTTGATTATATCACACAAATATCAATCAACTTTATCAAAGTGTAGTTTATAAAAATTTTACAAATATTATTTCTTCATGATAATCAAATAAATAAACATACTTGATTATCAGTCGGATTATAGCCTCGATGACGTTTGTGCAGTCTTTGACTTAGCAAAATAGATAACAGTGCACCAGTTACGATTATGAAGCCCAACGCAGATAGTATAAGTACCAGTGTATTGTTAAATAAAGTATCCATCATTATGTCCTTTGGTTCAATTTCCACTTTAGTTGTAACGTTATCTGAACAAAAATATCGTATCATTATTTGACTGAGACAGCCAAATTGACAAATATTTAGAATATATTCCATAAAAACTGATACAGAATATTTGATATTGAATATTTTATTACTTTTCTGTTGTTTTTTATTCTAAATATTATTGTTAATAGAATTGAAAAGAGAAGCTATTATAGAGAATCGTTAACTTATACTCTAAAACTTTTTAATATATTTTAGATTGTACCCACCACATACAGGAATATCGCAATGCTGCCAGCGTATCAGGGGATCAGTCGTGAAACACCATGGCATCGGTTCGTCGCCGCCCGCGTTTCTACAGTAATTTTCACCGTGGCGAATCTGCGGGAAAACGTCAGGCGGTTTATCATGACTGTGTGGTATTTGCGCGCTCCATGACTGGCAGTCTAAACCAAATTTAGTCTTGTTCACCTTCCCCATATAAAATCTACCATTGCCTCTGATGCAATCATCTAAAAAAAACCAATATTAATAAACATCCTCAATATTCAATTATATCTTTGACATTATTCGAAGGAAATGATAACTTACAAGTGACGATTTCCTCGTTCATGTCAGTCAAATGTACATGTGAACAGCTGGGCGTCTCCTTATTGATTTTAGGCAAACTCTCACATTCTGGTAGCACAAAGTGTCCACGTGAACGGATGTAAATGTCTCTCTGTTTGTTATCCTCGATAATTGCCCAGTCATTGAAGCAAAACTGCTGGCGCACGGCCATGCAGTCTTCATAGCATAGAGATAGACCTACTGATTCATGACACAGTGGAAATGCATACATGCAGAGCATTTTCTGCAAGAGACATAAGATTAGACAAAAAAGAACGTAGAGTGTAGAATGTAGAAGCAACATTTCTTTGGAATATATTTATATTTCTTTCTTGAAGTTCATTTTAAAACTTTCTCAAAGTTTCAAGGTAGCATACCTCTGCAGCTGAGCGACATGGCTCCAAAAGAGTCGATATCAGTTCCTCCCACAGATCTGCCGTAATCTTCTCATTCAGCCATCCACCGGGATTGTCATTGGAGTCATTAAACCATACCTTCCCAATGCCACTGAGGTACCTCTTGCAGATCTTGCCGCTGTATGGGGCACAGTAACCTTGCGACTCCGGTTCTGAGAGTGAAAGAAAAACATGAACATTCTTGTCATAGATTTACACTTGACATCAGATCAATTAAATATCAATGGTGCAGGCATACGTACTTGCTTGCAGGCAACCGAAGTGCAGGAATATCACCAGCGAGTAAACAATGGCCCAAAACACCATTATTTACAATCATCTATATATACATACACACACACACACACACACATACACGCACACATGCACACATATATATATATACAGATATATATTTATACATATATATATATATATATATATATATATATGTATATGCAGATTCCACTCTGTATACGTGAAGTCGCGATGCGAGAATCCAGAGGAAGGTTCACATGTTTGATAAGGAAACGGTGACCTCCTTTTAGGTTTGCTTGGCGGTTAACATCGAGCCGTCCTGATAGGCCGATAGGGATTTCATACACGGCGACAGCCGTATCTTTCGGGTAATGGATGATATATTATGCCATTCCATAACGAGCGCCGTAAACAATCGCGCACATGAAATCCGCAATAATTCTTAAATATTAATATCTCGATCGTGCCGATCAGCGGTTCCAGATCATGGCGGTAAACTCTCGAGTTCGGTAGAGGTTACGAGTTACGACGGAGCTGCCTCGGCGTGTACGAATATACAGGGTGTTTCTTAAATATTGTTCAATATTCAACGAGCTGATTTTTTAAGTCATTTTATAAAAAAATAATTTTAATAAACATTTTAGTCTTAAAAACATCGTTTTAGAAACTTTGGATGTTAAACATTTTCTAAAATTATTGTTTCGATAACGAACGACTTTTTTGGAATCTAACAAGAATACTTTTTTGTAGATAAATAATGAGATAATAAAAATCTGCAAGAAAACTTGATTCTCAAATATTCTTATAATTTTTCAATATTTCTTTGGGATGTTTGAATGTAATTAAAATAAGACACCCTATGTACATATTTAATGACCGCAATAGATTTGTGAGACTGAAGATTATTAAAAAAAAGATGCAGAAGAAATTGTTCGTAATATTATTATACTTTTGAACGTAATTTTTAATGAATCTCGATTAAAAAAAGCATATATGATGAATCAACGTCAAAATCAACGTTTGAATTTTTATATTGCAGTTTTATAGTGCAGTCGCCAGAGAGCGCGTATTTTATGCAATCTATGGGAAAATTATGCCTAATTCGCAAAAATATCACCAGGCGGCGAAGCTAATAGTTCGATAAATCGTATCGTATTCTACTTTTAATTATTCAACTCATGCAATTTTGAATTTTAACCTGAAAATTCTGCAAGCACAGTTTGTATTATTAAAGAAACTAAAAAGGAATAAAATATTGGCTTATCAATAAAATAAGTATCAATTTATAATCAATATTGAGAAAAAAAAATTGTCAGCTAAATGTGGATTAAGAACTCGTTTCCCAATCCGAGATTCGAAAAAAGGAGTAAAAGAAAGAGAGGAAGATAGGCAAGCTGGATCGTACGTGATACACGTGGGTCACGCCGGGGAAACTTTTTTTTATTATTTGACGATATGGACGATATGGACATAAATTCTACGATAGATAATGCGACTGTCGTTGCGGATAATTTAGCAGAATCATCAACGAAAATGAGTAAACGTCAAGTGAAGCGATTGCGGAAAGAAAAGATGTGGCTAGAACGAAAGAACGAAAGAAGGTTAGAAATTGCGTGCCGATAACACGCGATAGTGACGTAACTTCGACTCGTGTATTATGCTATCGCATCATGCTCTTTATTTTCAGAATAAAATTTATTTTCATTTACAAAAAGAAATCCACATATCCACTACTTCACATATATATAATTTCCCCATATATGTAACTTTCACATTCACTTGTAACAATCTGGAAGAGATTTCACATGTTATTTTTTTATTTCAATAAATTTTTACATGAAAACGCGATTTTTTCTCTATATGAAAGAAAATTGATTTTTTTTAACCATCCCATGTTAATATCGCTAATTTATCGCTGTAGATTGAAAGAGAGGATTAAAGCAAGGGAAAAACGTGCATATGCACGTGCGAATAATCTGAGCCTAGGTCCGTCCAGAAAAGTATTAAAAAGAAGCACTATGGCAGCGAGTGCTTGTACACTCACAGTAACCATTGACTTATCATTTGATGAGTTAATGATCGATAAGGATATTGCTAAGCTAACCAAGCAGATATTAAGGTGCTATACTTTGAATAGAAGAGCAGCAGCACCCATGCAATTTTCCCTCACCAGCTTTACTGGCAAGTCGCGTGCCAGCATGGAGAAGCACAATGGATATGAACACTGGGATGTACGTGGTTGCAACTAAGTGTATATATTTTTCTTTATATTTTTTATATCATAGAGAATTAATATTGAGAAACTTCTTAATTATATTGAATTGCAGGTCTGCTTTCACACAAATTCGTACATAGATGTTTATCCCAAAGACAAAATCATATATCTCACAAGTGAGTCGAAAAACGTGATAGATCGTCTGGAACATGATTGCACATATGTCATAGGTGGTCTTGTCGATCATAATGCGCATAAAGTGAGATATTTTTCCTCTTGTTCTTCGGCAAATCTTTTTCTTTCTTTTTAAATTAATTTTTTAAATTAAATAGGGAATGTGCCACAAGCTTGCGATAGAAGCTGGCGTTAGGCATGGCCGACTGCCGTTAGACAAATTCCTACAGATGAAGGCAAGGAAAGTGTTGACTATTGATCATGGTAAGCATCCTGAGACATTAAATTCTCTCATTTTCACAAAATGATTATAGTCATCTCTATGAGCATCTTCAATTTTCCATTATTTTTAAAAACAAACTGTGTGAATTGAATCGAATTTGTTTAAGGCAAATAGAAATGTATTGCTATTATAATTAAATTTCAACAATACAGGCAAGTTGTACGTTGAGATTTTTATTTTAAAGATTGAACTTTTTTCAGTTTTTGAAATATTACTAAGAATCTCAGAGGGTAATACTTGGCAGGAAGCGTTCCTAAAAGTATTACCGGAGAGAAAAAACGCTCGGCCGATCGTTTCTGTGCAATCCAAAGAGAAGACGATAAATTTAAAATCTGTCGATGTAAATAGTTCAATGTCGATTGATGTAAATAATATAACGCCTATTGATATTGATAACACAATGCCGATTGATGTAAATAATGCGACGCCGGCTGATGCAAATGCGGTATCGGATGATGTAAATAATGCAACGGTAGATGATGCAACTAATGTAGGGCCAGTTGATGTAAATAATGCAGCGTTGGATGATGCAACTAACGCGGCGCTGGTTGATGTAAATAATGCAGTGCCAATTGTAGCTAATACTTGCAATGAGGAGAGTTACGGTAGACTTGAGTGCAATACAGAGTCGAAGATCATAGAAGGGAGCGCATCTAAATTTATGATTATGGATACAGCAGAAACAACATAAGAAAATATAACATGTTTAAAAAGATTCGCGAGGAAATGAAAAAAGAATAGATTGTTTTTAAAAATGTAAAGTATACAAAAATGTTTTTATGTATACAAGAAATCAAACATTTTTAATTAATCGGAGCGATTAAATATTTTTAATATATATATATATATATATATATATATAATAAAATGAAAATATTTTTTAAAATATTTGTGTTGATGTCGATTCGATCCTATTTGTTATTTCGCGAGTAACGCTGGGATAGGAGAAAGAGACAGATAGAGTGTCTACTCTATTTTCAAGACTGCCGAAAATTTCCAGTGACGCCACATTTACGAGGTAAGATTATACGCATAATAATAACAGTATATTTCTGTATCGTCTGTATCGTGTATTTTCAAATGTACGAGATGCATAGACAAGAGCAAGACGGCAAACACCAATTATAAACGGGCTACAAAAACGCGCTCGACAAACACTTTGTCAATATCTTCTCGCGCATTGTTTCTTTTTATGCACACCTCACAGACACATTGTTACAATATGATACATTCTTATACATCTAAATTTGTCGCGTTACCAGAGTACAGTTTTTATTGATCATTTTTAGGTACCTCCGCGTCTTACTGTCACACTGCGCCGTTGCAGTCGCTTAATTACAAGCAATTAGGTCAAACAAACTGACACTTCGGGTTAAAACATTTGTACACAGGTGCATATTTATTACATTGCAAATGTACATACGCCTATTTATCATCCAAGACATTAAATACGATACTAGCGGTATCACATTGTACATATATACGTATCTACAGTTGAGTCCCCCTATTCTCAAATCTCTGCCTATCTATTCCTTATTACTTCTTTTGCAACGGAAGATTAGAAGCGGCGGAGATTAAAAAATGTAGGTGTTCGACTGAATTCATTCAAATAAATAAATTTTCCTTTTTTCTCATCTTCGCCCTTTCGAAGGTTCCAACATCGGATACTTTGTACGCGAGTGTTACGATCGGGAGACAATCGTTAAATAAAATGGATTTTATTTTTCCTTTTATTATTCTACATACGTCATCACATTCGGCCGAGGCAATCGGCAATGTTTGAAGCGAGGTCGCTATTGTTTATCGTTGCTCGATTTAATTCTTTTTATTTGATGTGCGACCAATTATAAAGATCAGGGATGGTTCTTTTAGCTTTGTATTATAATTAAGCGTACGTAATACCACTTTTTTCTGCGGCGTTCGTCGAGCTCCATCACATTTCCATCTCCGTTATTTCATCCTTGTCGATTATCTCGAAATCACTATCGCCATTGCTCTCGTCGCTGCTGCTCACGGCGACAATTTTCTTTGCGTCGAAGACTTCTTCAGAAGAAGACGAGGAACTCTTCTCGAAATGACCGGTCTGAAACTTTATACCGTTCTCTTCGGCATCGTTTTCGCCGACGCTGAGCTCCAGTTCCGATAGTTCGACACCGTCGGTGCTACCTTCCCCGTGATAGGGTATACTGAATGCTATCTCTTGAAGACCCTCGATAAAATCCTCGTCATAAAATGAATCTGTAAACATAAGCGATAAGATGTAACGGAGGAGATAGGATAGGATGAATAGAAAATTATTAAACAAACTTATTTTAAATTATCGAATATTATAGATAAATATGAAGGAAACTAATCATCATATATCACATAGAACACAATTTAAATTTTCAGTAAAGTTTTTATTACACTACCGTTTTGAGTATCCGACTGCACGCTTGTCGGTGTTGGCGAATGATCGCCGGTCTCTCCCACTCGATTCAATACTTGTAAATTCGCTTCGGTCACCACAGGTAAAAACTCATCTTCGATTTCACTATCACATTGCCATTCTGAAAAAATTATGAATCATCAATATAAATGTCATCAACGTCATATAAACATTCCATGGCAAAATGCATCGCATTAAATTATATAAATTGTATAAAAATTCGGTAAATAAAAGAAATATGAAAACAAATATAAAAAAATATCTGAACAAAAGTATTCTTGAATTAAGAGTTTTTCGAACGTCATCTGATATTTCATTTAAGTTAAAATTTATATATTATGTATGATTATATTAGATAATACAAAAATTAATTTGTTCTAAATTAGATTAAATTAATTTAAATCAATATCGAGCCGAATTTTCTTATAAAAGTTCGGATCTTTTGCTTACCTCTGTGCGACATGAAGTACTCCGATACTTTGTCGGACAGTTTCAACGGTAATCGCAGTATTAGAGAGCCCAGTACAATGCCCCAATATATCGAATAAGAGGTTGATAGATTAATATGTCCGAAGAGCCATAGGCCGAAGGCCACGAGACAGAGGACAGCGCAATGCTGAAAAGTAGTATATAATTTCCAATCTCTCTTCCAAAAAATTTATAAAATAATATTTTTTATCATTGGGATTTTACCAGTCCTGGTTTCTCGCTTCGCAACTTCCTTAAACTTTTCCACAACCAATGAAGGCTACTGCATACCCTCTGACGCTCCCTGAAATGTATTTACCAAAAGGTCGTATCATTTCTTATTTTTTACCATAGATAATTTTATATTGTTCATAATACTATATATTATATTGTATTTCATTAATCGAAAATTGTTACTTATTAAAAATTATTATTATTAATATAGTGTTGTTACCGAATATATTTTGTTAATGATCGTATTATTAATAAACAATGATGAGTGAAAAAGTTCGAGATGATTTAATGGCAAGAAAAACGCAAGAAAAACGCGTTGTTATTCAAAGAAAACATATAAGGACTCAAGCAACAACTTACTCTGCAGGGGCTAGAGTATCCATGAACTTGAAAGCGATCATTATTTGAATAATAAAATAAACAGTGACAATTCTAAAAGGCATCTGTGAAGCCGATATTCCCGTCAGGCTATAAATCCTGTAAAAAGCGATACATCATAAATCTGCAAATACAATAGCGTTAAGCAGTCGGAATCATTCATTTATATAGAAATCCGAAATTTTTCCTTGAAAAGCTAAGCTTTTCTTATTCTTGCTTTCACATGTTCTTTTATAGTTTTAGGCCAGAAACGAAGGCCAAATTTAAAATGGACTCGTAACAGACAGATGTTGGAAAAAATTGAAAATTCATTACATTGGAGGTAAAAAAAGAACATCCGAAGCAGAATAAATTCGATAAGAAATAACTCGTATCACTCGTATTTAAAAGACTCATCGTATCACCTTGTTTTGCAATTGCAGAAAAACATCGAACTTTTCTGCGTTGATTTATTTATATATTATAATTACGCACACGACACATCATACGCGCTTATAAAATTTTTTGTTCGGCGATCTTATCGCGCGCGGACACAAACAACAACTTTTGCAACTGGCATGGCAATCGCGATGCGAAGGAGGAGAACAGGACAGGTTTATCCTTTCGATCAAATTGAACGGGTAAATACGTTATTTGCAAATTGCTTCAAGGACAAATTCAATTCGCCGCGTGTCCTTCGATCGCCGGGCCGAGAATTCGAAAAATTGAGAGGACAGCTCGGCACGAGGTGGGCACGATCCGATGACGTCCAAACACGAAGAATTTTATCGAGATTCCAGATAACACCGCGCATTTACGCGGTTTACTACGAATAATCAGGTATGCGCGCGCGAGCCGTGATTGCAAAATGTGTATCCGTTATACGCGCGCGCATGTGTTTATTGCGTACATGTTTGTTGCGTGTCGGCATCGCGCGAGATCCCCACGAGCGACCGTTCGGAAAGGGGGCCTTGACCTAGAAGGCGAAGCTACTCTTGTGGACACGAAACGTTAAAACAGCTGTAACGTCGCGATGCGGCGCGACGCGACGCGACGCGGCGCGGCGTAATGCGACGTGACGTCACGGACGGTCGGAGGCACGGCGCGTCAACGCGGGATGCAAAACACAACCGTGAGCGATGGAAAAAGAAACGGAAAGACGTAGGCGCGACGATAACAGCGCAATAACGCTGCTAACCGAAGATGCACGCGTTCGCGATAATAAACACGCTGATTGTCATCGCCGTTACTCCCTCCCCGTGAGAGAAATCGCGATAGGGAAGGGGAAAGAGCATGCAATGTGCCCTTTAAACGCGGTACCCTTTAAAAGATAGAGGAGAAGTGTGTGTGTGTGTGAGAGAGAGAGAGAGAGAGAGAGAGAGAGAGAGAGAGAGAGAGCGAGAG